TTATTATGCCTTCCAATACGATACTCAATGACTTCCGTTACTTCAGAAGTGAAGAGAAACTAAATTTGTGAATCCTGTCCCGTCTTTGGGTGCGGTGGGGGAGATGAAGCTTCTCCTTGGGTGCGTCTGTGTGAAGGCTGTGAAATTTTTTGTCCGATCTTTCACCTCTTCGTCCTATAGTGCGCCGCTGCCAGCACCGGCGACCGGTTCGGCGCGTCGCGTCGCCTCACGCGATCTCACGCCCAGTCTGCGCGTCACAACCGCCCTCACACCCCCCTCCCGCCGCCACGTTCGCCCCCGACCACACCGCTCGTCCAGGGACTACGATGTCGTTTGCTGCTAACGAGTGTTGTCCTTTCTTTGAACCATATCCCGAGATGTTGGTGACCAATTATGACGGAAGTGATACTTAGATTTCCTGAGCTGTGGGGAATAATTAATCATTACATTTTATTATGGTGGATAGTCAGTGATTTGCTTTTAGAATCTAATAAAGCGGAAACAGATTTGAAACCACGTTCACATCGCAAAGCGGTTCCCCCTGCAGATGACTGCGCATTTAAGACGAAAATCGAGTCTCTATTCGCAACTGATTTTTTTATTCACCCCCGAAAATTCATCTCAAAGCTTTAGGGAGGTCCGTGTATATAATATACACGTAATGGTAAAACGTTGCAGGTGGTAAAAAATACATCAACACATTCCCTTCAGTTAGATGAACACATGTCATTTTACTGAAAAACGCTTCGTTTATGCACAGTAGTTTCTTAACGATTTCTCTTCTTTTATAGCGACCAGAAGGTTGTACTTAGAGTGAGTCGACGCTTTGGGGATAATTTAAAGTATTGCCGAAGGAATAATCTAATGATTTCGGATACTCCCGGAAACGAAGAAAAATGCAAATTTGTGAATCGACAGAATTGGGGTGCAAAATTACGTCTGCCCTGTATTGTGTGAGACCCTGTGATCGCATCCTATGATAGACCTTCAGGTCCTTGGCGCCCCAGCCGGCCGTCAGAACTACAGTGCACTCCCTATTCAGAAATGACGCTAATGAATTCCCGAGTTTACAACAGCATTTCATTTATTGCGGTACATAAAGTTGCGGTGATAAGCGGCGTACATAAGTTTCGGTGATGTATAAGCTACTAAGAAATTGAAAATTTTCAATAGCAAACTTTCTTCAAAAATCTATGCTTCTTAGGCCAAAATGATAAAGAAATTATTTATTGCTAATATTGTGAGAAACATGCTGGCGAGCGCTTTACCACCAGAAATAACTCGTACTGTACTAGCACATCTAATACCAAACAAAACAAGTATGTATGTGTGTGTTGGAGAGAGAGAGGGGGGAAGAGACCAGATTACGCGGGTATTCGTACAAACGCAGATTAGTTATGAGTTTTAGTATTTTGTGGTTATATTTATGTTTATGATTATTATGCGGTAGATATATGATTATAATGGTGGGCGGTTGTTTTGTCGACTGTCGAATTCATGAATGTCCAATTTATATTATCATAAACTTCTTTTAAAATGATTCCGAAGTATATCTCATGTTCAGATGTCTTCTTTCAAAACTCGAGTTTATTTTAAACAATGTTTGTGTCCGTCCACTAGTGAAGTGTATTCGACTGGATATTCACGAAGTGAAAACAATAGCAATATCTTTAGGTTCTTGGATCTGCAGGTTCTTCAATTTAAGCTCAAAAATTCTTAACTTCACTGGAATATTTTGTTATCATTTGTACTCACAACTACCCCTTTCTTAAACTTATTTTCTAACTTTATTGAATCTTATATGTTTGTCCATTTCTTTTTTAAACACCCATTTTTTATATACTATTAAAATTTATTAAATCATTAAACGTTCACATAACATTTTAAAATATAATATTATAAATATTTCACAACATTTCGAGTCGTGGTCTTCGACTCATCTTCAGCATCTGCAATCGTTATATATTTTAACATTAGAACAATTAAATTTTTAAATTTTATTTTAATATCAAATATTACCAAAGAACTGTATAAATCGTAATGTCAATGTCATATTACTCTTGTACACCCATGCATATAATACATATTTTATTTTATATTATTGTGCATACAATTAGAAGTTAACCTTTCTATTTATGATGTATTATTTCCTTGAAACATCCTTTATAGCACTTCATCAGTTTATTTTCCAATCTTATACTTAATGAAATCTCATTTTTTTCTGCCTGTTCCACTGTACTCGCTTTTTTTAGGAGCTTTAAAAATTACATTTAATTTACGTGTTACACTAGGCACTCGCGCATTAATTATACCTAATTGTTAGCGCAAAACAAGCATTTTAAGTTATAATTTAATTAGTTATTGACAGAATGTATTTATATTCAATATTGTGAAAAAGTGGAAATGAGAGGAAGTAGTGTACCGATTGTAAGTGTGACGAAAAGGAACAAAAATCTATGAAGATCCGAATCGGTCTTGGGGGGAATCGAGATTTAATTCTACATGGAAATTTGTGTGATTGGCCTAGATTAAAAGTAGTTTTATGTGGGAAATATTGAAGTACTTTGAAAAAAAATCGTTTTGTAATTTTATAAATTTGTAATTTTGTAATTTTATCACGTCTGCAATATCTAAATTTAGTTCGTTGTGTAATTGATTATTTGGTATGAACCATGGAGCTTGTAGTATTTTACAGATAAATTTATATTGTACAATTTTAAATTTATTAATGTAAGTTTTAGCAGTATTACATCATATATGACAATCATATATGAATGTGGGTCAAATTATTGCTTTGTAGAAAATTAGTGAACAATTATAATGTAATGAAAATGTAAGAAGAAAGAAGCGATTGATTTTTAAAACTTTGATATTAATTTTATTAACAGTTTTCGATGTGTTTATTCCATGTCAAAGTGGTGTCTTATTCAATTCCTACATATTTTATAGTTTCGTTTTGTTAGCTATGGAATTGGTGCATTAAAACATTTTTAAAGGGAAGGAATAAGAGTTTCGAAGTGTAAACATTTTGGCTTGACATTGGTTTAAATTTTGTTTTATTCTCAATTTTTCTGCACTTTGAACATATTTGTTGAGATCGTCTTGTAAAGTATTATATGCGTCTACTCGTAATAATGAGAATAATGCTAACTATGAATTATAAATACAAGCAAAATGTATTTCATTGCCATTCAACATTCCAAATTTTTTTAAACAATATGTATATGTGTGTTATATATATATATATATATATATATATATTATAATATATATATATATATAAATGGTAAAATATACTGATTTTGCGGAAAAATTGATAAAATAAATGCGGACATATCAGCCATTTCTTATAACTTCCCATGCTTCAATTCAATCATTCAGTATACCAAAGTATTCACTGCTGTTTTTATATAAAATCTCAACATTTATATTTTTTTTCATTTCAATTAAATTTTGGTTAAGCGCAGTGTAGAGGCCTAAGAAGTAGCGACAGTCAATTGAAAAAATTAACTATACCCTCCTATTCAATAAAATACGACATTTCCTCTACAGTTTCCATTACTTTATTATTTATACGATCACTCGAAAAACTTAGTGCGGATAGACATACATGTTTAATTAATCAGCATTCTCTAAGATCCTGTTTTAATATTGTAAACTCTAAGTGTATATTGTAATACGTTTTTTGAATATTGCATTTAGGAAGATAATTCAAGCAAATTCTAATAGCCGGAGGCCTGTTGACTAATATATTAGGAAAGCGTACAATCTTTGTCTCATCTAAATGGGTCTCATTACGTATCGTTCACAACTCATCAAACTTTTTGCGTCAAAATTTTTCAATAATCGAAAACCACAAAAACTTCGCCCGCGAATAATATGTCTCTGACGTGCCACAGGAAGTAAAGTTACCTACCTGCAAATTAGTGCTTGCAGCTGACAGTTATTATTATCTCTTCTTCGCACGTGCTACGTTGTAAAATGAAAAACGAGCAAAGGACCGATGCGGACGTTGTTGTGCATGATCTAGGTTCGTATTTTGCTACTTATTTGTCCTACTCAGAAAATTGCTTGGAATAGTTGATGAATTTTTATTTACTTTAATGTTTCTTACTCAAGGGATGCTTATTTCAATGATAACCAACGCCTGTAAACAGGAATTACTATGTGTTTCAATGAGTTATTAAAAATTACATATGTAATTTATCTATTACCTTTTTTGGAATGATCTATAAACGGACTCGCTTCGAATTATTTATCTAAAAAAAAGGAAACATTCGATATGTAATAATTTGAACAATAGTTAATAGATTTGTACGTAAAATATTAGAATTACTGCATAAGAAAACCAAATATATATTTCCTGCAATATCCTATGAATTGAATTTTATCAACTCACTTTTAAGTTGATTACGTGTTAGATATATTATATTGTTCTATATCCGATTTATAGAACATGTCAGTGTATGTTAAGGTAGAACTCATTCGGGGACATTAACTATTACGGTACTGGGCATCACTTCGGAATCATCACTAGTTCGGTAAAAATCTGAATTGTGAAATATTCAGTTCTCAAAGTCGGGTAAATTTCCAGTTAATACTTCTTATTTCTCAACCCTCAAAAGCTTTTAGACTGAAGAGGCAGACTATTTTAAAAAGAAAAACCGAAAACAGAAGATACACAATATGTAAAAGTGAGAAGGCAGAGGGAGTGATAAAAATAAAGACGAGATAGATATACAAAAACGCGCGCCTGTGTGTGTGTGTGTGTGTGTGTGTGTGTAAGAGAGAGAAAGCGAAAAACGAAAAGAGTTAAAACAGTGACGGAATTAAAGAGTGGGTAGTACGATAGTAACGGCCAAGTGTAGTGAGGTACTAAATGAAAGCTCGCCCTGAAGAACCGAGAGAGGGTCACAAGTAAAGAGCAAATTGAGTTTCACATAACCTTTCACGATGTGCGTCATTCCCGTGCCATGTCAATGTCTGAAACTTTTCTGCAGGCACGGACGCGCCGAGCGTCCCGGGTCTCCTTGAAACCGCGAGTAGACGAGGCGAGAGGAGACCGGGCCGGGCTGGGCCGGGCCGCTCGGACAGGTGCTGGCGCGCGCCCACCTGCGCCCTATCGCCCACTGCCCATCGCCCATCGCGCCCTAGCTGATGCGCGCCCGCTGCGCCGGAGGCCGTCGCCGCCCTTGCCGTGCTGTGCCATGCCGTGCCGTGCCGTGCCGTGCCGTGCTGTGCCGTGCTGTGCCGAGTCGTGCCAATATTTTCCTAAAACCGTACTTAGCTCCTAAGTGTCTGAGGTTAAACCAGGAGAGGTCATCGGGTATATACTTGTACAGCTAAGATCAATGGATTTACTGCTTCTTATGGAAAAATCATCGCACGCACAACGACGGTTTAGTACCTTTAAGCGCACTAACAATATAATTTAGCAGCATGATTTGGCGATAAAAGTTACGAACTCCAAGAAGGGCCCTGCGACGATGTCTGCGCGCGACGTTATGCTTAGTCAGTGCGGCCCAATGATGGGACAGATGGGGGAATTATTAAAAAATTGAAAAATAAATTAGAACTCGAGAAACGTAAAATCGTCACCGTAATTTTACAAGTCGCGGTATAGTGGTCTGATATTTCATAAAATTTTCAATTATTTTCTTTTCATCATATAAAAAAATTATAATCATTACTTTTAAGGTAGGACTCTTTGAAATGAATCAAATGACGCTAACATTAATAGGTTCAACTGAAATTCATATTTATTATTTCATGTATCTGATAACAAGTAATTTTATTAAACACTAACTAAAAGCTCGTATTGTAACTAATAAAAAAGTAGTAACTAGTAAAAAAGTAAAATAATAACTCGCATTGTTTTTGATACAACTTTCAGATTTTTGCGGGGGAGGGGGGCAGGGCAGCGTTTCAGCATTGTCCCGAATCCAAAATTATCTGACTTCGTCACTGCGCTTACTTAATGCAGTGGTTGACAAGAATATTGAACATGCCAGTGAAATGGCTAACATTTTTACGGTTATGAGCAAGAGTTAACATCACGAATATAAGATTTTAGCATAATTATGTCTGAATTTAATGGAAAAGCAGTGGTCAATTCCAAATCGAAAAGTCAAGAATATTTATGAATAGTTGAACTGGTGATGTTACAAATTATTTCTAACTTGTATCTGACATTACTTCTACCTTATTATTTTCGAAAATTGAGAGAGTTCTTTGAAAAAGAGACCTGACACATTTTAACCATCCTTTGCACTAATCCAGGAAAGAAATGGAAGAAAAAAATTGGAGCTGTTATTTGCGGGGAAAAATAGAGATTACCTTTACTGTAAGCAAAAACTACTTTTTTTCAAAAAATTGATTCAGATCATGATTCTATTTAAAGATAGAATGTCTTTGAAGATCAGATTACTCTAAGGAAAATATTTACATCTTCAATGTTATAGTTGGAAAATGCCAAACAAATGTTGAACTTTTGAAATTTTCGGAAATTCAGAGTTTCAGTAATTCAATTATTTTGACATTTGGGCATACGAAACTAAATTGAGGGGTATGGGTAGTGAGTAACATGTAGAAATGTCCTGCATTAAGAACATTGGCTTTCTTGTGCTGTAGTACTATGTTTTGTCATTCCCCCAACTAGAGAAAGTTCTCATGAAAACAATTTATTTATATTGCTAGAATTCGAGAAAAGTGCACTCAAAAACTTCCAGCTAAAGATATGTTATTTACTTGATTCTCATACTTGGATTAAAATTTACTCTCTAGCCAATCCAATAGAAAGCGTGATAAAAGTGAATAATACGGGCACTTTGATCTTGTCTACCGTTTACGTACGGCTTTTAATTTATCAATCAGATACTTTTTTAATATTATCACATACTTTTCATCGTGATTTGATTAATTCCTTACAATATTATTTATAGAAAACATGGGTGAAAATGGAATTATTCATGAAAATGTCTCTTACCTCCAACTGCAGTCACTGAACGTTCACTTCCTAAACTAGAAATGACCAAAAGTATTAAGTTTCTCAGCAACCGCACCGGTTTTAAATCTCACTGTTTGCTACCCAAATAATGGATCAGAAGTTTCATTAGACAAGCCGCAATTGCGGCTGTCTAACGTACTCACGCAAAGCATAATGGACATAACCTCAATCTCTCACGATCAACCGCAAGTGTGACAGTTGCGCGAATGTATGCAAGCCGATATTTTCATGTCATTATCTTAGTTTACTGGTGCAACTCCAGGTTAGCCAACCACCCAGCGATCCACCGAAAATCTCTCCGCAGCAAGCTTGCAATTGGCGGTTTGGCGATCTCTGACCTCGGATATATGCGGGCCTTAATGAGCAGGCACTGCTAACAATTGATGTTGGACGAATACATTTCGCGTAGCGATACTATCTTCGAAGATACTCAACTATTTAGTATCTGTCAAGAAATTTGTCGCTGGCCTGGCTCAACTGTACAGCGCTTTAGAAGACAAGTTAAAAAATGTCACACCTCTTCTACTTCTAGACAATCTATGAGATCACGCGGGGCCGCAGTTGTCTGCAGTGCTTCAGGTATAATTGCAGCACCTTTTCTATCTTCTTACGTTCGTCGTTAGGTGGGAAAATTGGGGTTGGATTTGGTTGGCGTGAAAAAGTAAATGGGATAATTCAAAGACGCAGCTAAACGTCATTTGAAAAGACACGTGTTTATTAAAGAAACAATCTATGTACAGCACCCTTTGGCAAGAAAGCAATGACTGTGGTGGAGAGAGATGAGGGTCGATAAGACCACACTCCTGTTTAAATTCCAGAGCAAAACATCTGAGCGTTCTTAGACCATTGCGGGAATCGAAGCGATTCTTCTAATTGTGTTTTGTTTGTATGTGTCACATGTTCTTTTGCCGTATCGAGCGGCCAGAGTAGCAAGAGATTCTTTGAGCTAACTTCCTCGTCCATCTCTATACCAAACAGCATAATAAATAGTTCGGAGAAGTGATAAGAGTGAGGATGAATTAATTCAGATACGTCAGTAGAAGCATCATTTTCTCCACGCTACTTCATCAATAGAATTATGATATTTTGATATTTTTTCTCGAATTTTATCCGTTGTTAAGCATTTGTTCATTGATCCGGTAAAATAAAGTTATTTCACCTACTAATTGTATGAGGAAAATTCCGAATCCGCCTGCAGATGCAGCAAGAGCAGACTGCCGCCGCCGCCGCCGAGGCCGCGGGGCCCTCGTTAGTATGCGCCGGCGCCGCGGGGCGCGCTGTCTCGCGGCACGGTGCACACGCATTCCGCCGTGTCCGCAGCCGCCGCCGCCCCCGCCGCCGTCACCGTCGCGGGCCTTAATGAGCGCTTGTTTTTTTTTTTTTCGTTGCAGACAAAAGAGACGCGGGCCGCTGTGCAATTGTCCGGGCGCGCAACAATGTTGACCCTCCGCCAGCGAGACAAATGGCGGTCGCACTGAGTTATCGGGGCTCGTCGCTGCCGTGTCAACCCTGGCTGCGTCCCGCCGTCAAGGGCGCGAGGACGGTGGTGAGGACGAGAAGAGAATGAGCCGCCTAGTACTTCCTGAATACGGATGAAAAACAGAGAACATGGAAAAATTAAATGAAGGAAAAGGAACTTAAAGAATGGAATATTTGTTAAACGTAATGAAGAAAGGCAACGGGAAAGACACAAATAATGGAAATAAGTAAATACGGAATGGCAGAAATAAATGAAGAAAGAATAAAGTAAAGAAGGAAAGGGAAATGCAGGTAAGTAATATGATACAACCACAAATTACGGAAATTGGGTAAATTGTGAGAAGAATCCAGTAAGGATTAGGCGGACTTGACTCACTGAAGGGAACTTGCGCTCACATGTTTCTGTGTTTAAGAGCAGCAGGATTTCTAAAATGAGTAGAGAAAACATGCATAATGTAACAGTTTGTATTCCAACAATGTAACTTTATCATTACTTTTCATAAAAATTAACTCTATTATACTTACAAAAATGCCCTTTTGTGGTATTGATTGCTTTGAATTATTGTTTCCTCCCTATTTTTTATACAGGTATTCATCATCCAGACAAAAGCACGAGCAGCGATACCCGAGTATAATTTTCATCTGCTTAGTTCTTCCCGTCAGATTGACTCCCGCAAGAACCACATATTTGCCATTTTTGCATGGTAAATTAATGCGTGAATCTTGCATGCAACACGAATTGGTGCCAGAATTGGTTTTCGGTTAGCTAGCAAAACTGTGATCCCACACGTCAGGTTTGTCCATCGCGACTCCCTTAATTATTCACTTTGAATGCCAACAACCGGCGGGTGCGATGTAGTACCGACCGTTTTTGCTGATTGTGGGTATGCACGCGTCCATCAGACGAAGACGGACAATACATCGAAGGCGGATATCGGAAAAATAAGTAAACAATGTTATCTTATTTATTTTTGAAACTAATTATCTGTAAGTAAGTATTTGGCAAAGTACGTCGATTGTCCGACTTTGCCGACTAGTTAACGGTGTCCCTCGTGCCCCGGCCTAATGCAATTTCCACGCTTGGGGGTAAGAGAGACGTGTGGCGAACATGACCTTCACCGTAACTAGCATAATTTGCCTTCCTGAACGATTTTTCGTGTCACAGATACAGAAACTGATATTATTTTAAAGGAAAGCTGCTCTATTTTTACCCGACCGGGAATCAAATCCGGGATCGCACCAGCCACCCTTGAGCCACCTCAGGGCTGAAGAATTGCTTGATTTATAAAAGAACTTATATAAGAACTACATGTATTTGATTTATAATATACCATCAGTTTGTATTTTTAATTTATAAACAGTTCGAAAATAAAACATTTAGACACCTTTCTGTTTTTTTAAATAGAAATAGATTTTATAGGTACTCAAAGAGTAACTTTAAACTATTATATTTTTAAAATATGTTATTTGTTTGCGTTATTAAATATTTTTTTAAAACTTTTTTTGAAATTTTTTAAAATATTTATTAATACTGTGCGTTTTCTGGGGTGATAGCATACAATCATGGTTCCCGTAGAAATGTTCCCACATCTCCCTGCTCTTTTAGTTACATATCCGTGTCGGAATGTTGGTGATGAAGAATTAGGAAATTGGGACTTGTTTTCTCAGTCAATTATGAATTGATGGCTGATGACTTAGGGAATGGGTAGCCAATCTCCTTCGTATTATGCGTCAATTTGTTTTTATTTTCCATACAACTCAAACACCTTTTCTACCGCTTTCAGTTCATACTTAAGTTGTAAAATGGGACTTGATCTGCTTTGCAGGGGAGTAAAAGGGATGACCCAATCACCTAACTAAATGAATTGAAGTACGGCAATTCAAATGACACACGTATATTAGAGTACCAATTTACTAGGTACAATGGTGAGAAATGATCTCTTGTGTGAGATGGCGCTGCGGTGGACCCGGAGCTGACGAGTATCTCATTCGGTAAAAAGTATGGATTATTCCATGCAATGAGTGTGATGAGTGATGGAATGAATTTAACTAAGAGAACTCTTGAAGTTGAGAATATGAAGATGGATTTAATTGGATTTATGTTTTTTATTTTGAAAGAAAAATTAAGAGCAGGAAATCACTTGTAAACGTCCAATGCGTCACGTTTGACAAATACGCTTGAAGTTGGCCACCCCTAATGTAGATAATATTGTGGTTTGCCCTAGCCTTCCACTAATTAGTAAATCGTCGATGAATGATAATTGTGAAAATGACAATATTGTTTACAACAGGCAGTGTTTTAAGGAATTTCACGCTTCTTTGAAGTACAATAATTTATTTAATGTCAAAAAACTACTAAGTAGAGGTTACTGAGGGAAAACATTTGTAGCGTATTTAAGGCATTTGTACTTAATTTATAGTAAAACGTAAGTGTTTTAAGAGTATTTAATGCAAAGTAAGCAAACATATCAGTATTTACTCCATGGATCAAGGGAAACTGGACGGAAAACCAGATCAAGTAGAAGAGGAACGGTTTTCGAAATTAACTATATAGTGTTTAGAGACATAGCCTTTTAGTACTATATGTAACAGCACTACTATTATTATAAAATAAATATCTTTCTTGCTTTTAATAGTTAGGCTAGTATTTAGTTTTACGAATACAGTTAAGTAGCAGAAAAGACACCGATTCCATCTCTGCGGCTACAACCAACTCCCGCAGCTCACCGCGCCCCCTGCCGAGTTATTTACCGCGCACGCGCAGAAATGAAATATAATTCGCAGTTCGTACGTGTCGCTCTGTACACAACACGCGTTACTGCATTTTAATGAAGATTAATATTCAATTTTTTGTGGTCGCCGAGTGGTCAAACGAGTTAAACACGCGGTACACCTGACAGGCGGCAGGCGGCAGTTATGCGGCGCGACGATAAGCCGACCGATGGGCGGACGAGGGGGCTAGGTATGAGAGGGGTGCAGGGCGGTCGAGCAGGAGGGGCGGGGGGGTCGGGGCTTCCAGCGATTCCCGCGCCAGGTGCCCAGCCAGCACGTTGCCGCGCAGTGACAGTCGCGCCGCGAAAAATGGGCGAAAGGGAGGAAGGAATGTTTTCTGAAAGGAGGAAGAACTGCAGCGTTTATCGTGATATTATGAACTGTTTCCCTTCAAGAACTTAGGAAGGATCCAAAGCTGAAGGAATAGTGAACTCTACGTCTGTTAGAAGTTCACTCCAAGCTGAGTTAAATTATAGACGAGTAATTTCAAATGATGGGTTAATTGCGAGTAATAAAACCCGAATTGTAACGAGAAATACAAGTTGGAATAAACCGCAAGAGTTGTTTCACTGATCTTTCTAGGAATGACACTTTCTCCGATTTCATTAGCACTTTAGAATTAATTAAAATGTAATCATCAACTTATAAATATTATTAATGGTGTAGTGAAAGATAGTCATCATATAATTAGGTGTTATTTTCTTATTTTTTAAAAACGTGTAAATTTATCAAGATATTCATATCTCTCCTAAATGTTCTTCTCGCTTAATGAATCAGCGTCTGAATTTTTTCAAAGATATCATCAGTTAATTTTTCTTGTTCGATCTTCGTAATTGAATATTTGTAATTTTTAAATTATCTAAATAATAATGTCATTCTGCGGTTTGTATGTTTTCGAATATGCAATTATCTCTTGCCTCTGCTCCGAATTCTGAAAAATTTACAGAATATTGCATTTTAATGAGATATTTAATTTTGGGGTCGTAAAAACATGGAAAATTCTGTGATTATTCAATAACATCACGAACACCCTTGAATTAATAGCGTTCGAGTACTAGCATTCACAAAATTGGATGTTCTTTATGTAGGTGTGGGATACAGTTTTCTAATTTAATTAATCATACTACTTACTTTCACTGACTGTACAAACTGACTCGGAAACAGAAGCACATCAAATATGTATTCACATGAGACAAAATTTCAAAGTAAATTGATAAAGAATGTTTAATGAAATTAGATTTGTTTCCTAGAAATGTTTCCTAAAAAATTCACATTTCACGATATTTTAGGTTGTCAGGTACTATTATTTCATAATTGAAAATACAAATTATAAAATATGTGATTTAGATTTTTTAAATTAAAATAATCTCAGCGATTAATATCGTTGTTTTCTTCAAACTGAGCTTGCCTGAATCACATAAAGAGTCGCCAATAATGATGACAGCGTGCAACAAAAAATGTGTTTCAGTAAAAGAGAACGGAAGAAGAAGTGCAGAATTGTGTATATCTAGTAACAAAAATTAATAATGAAATCGATTACAAAAATATTATTTGCTCTCTACGGAACTTGTTTGAAACTTAAAAATTGTACATTTTATTTCAGTTCGTTCAAGAGAAGAGTAAAATAACGACGAAAGAATATTTACAAACAGGACAAGTTTTGGAGATGAAAATAAATTAGATTAAAATTTTGAGCGGCAAATCAAATGTAAATTATGTACAACTTTTTCCTTCAAATGACCTACAATAGCATCTTATGCAATGAGTTTATAATGTTGTGCTTTATTGCGTAAGTACGTGTTTTGAAAATGAGTGACGTTAGGAGCGAGTTTTCAAATTTAGACGAACGCAATAAAGGAACATAATAAACACGTTGCATACGCCATTTTTTGTACAAAAACAGTATATAATTATTAAAAGGAATAAATGATTACTGAAACTGGAACTTGATTAGCGTTGTAGGTAAGGTAGTACATGTTTGATTATCGATGTAATTAAGTTGTAACTTGTTCGTAAGAAATGGAGACAATGACGATATGTCAAACTCGGTAAGTTTTTTTATTATTTTGTGGAAAAATGCACATGTAATCCTATTGAAATAAATACCTCCGGGCAAATCTCCTAAGACATTGCAAAATAACTTAAAATACCCAACGCGGGTAAAAACTCGGAACACTCGTTCCGTAGAACTTCTTCCACAACGCCAATTGATCCTGAAGGAGACACATTCAAACGGCAAGGAGGATGGCGTTCATCTACTGTGGCAGAACATAACATTGAAGAGTCAGTGGCTAATAAGATTAGAAACACCAAGATAATTGCATCTGGTGGAAAGATGCCGCTTGCGGGGATCCTTTCCAAACCTGTCACTGTAAATGAAGCAACAGTTTCTACTAATCCTGTATTCTCTTTCACCAATGTTTCAAATTGCACGTTCAATTTTTATTAATTAATCCGCGTTTTAGATTTATGTGCAGTTTAATTTTTCTTCATTCCTATAATGTAATGTGTTGTTACTTTATATTCTTCTCTTGTTTTTGTGTAAATAAAAACGCTGAAGTCCGTCAATTGTTTGATGACAAATATAATTTTATTGAACTAGTTTCATAATCCTCCACATTCTGTACCATTTTCGGTGCCATAAAAATTTGTTTACGATGTTAAAAAATCATCACATGTGTTTATTTTGTGCAACTTTAATTTTTGCTTTACTTTTGTACACAATAATCTCAAATACACATACATTTTTTACCAATTTTCCGTCTTTGACAACATGATTTAATGTCGATCCGGTGGCCGAGATCGCTAAGGCAGTAGTGCCCTAGCGATCAGATCGAAGAATCTCAGACCGAAGGATCGCGGATTCGAGTTCCGCCTCGGGCATGTTTATAGTGTGTTCGGCCTTTCACCCCCTATCATAATCATATCGTGTCATCCTCACAGTTACCATACCGTTACAAGCAAGAGTGGTAATGACCTAGAAGTTGATGCGACCTTAAATAACAACAAAAAACATGATGTATTGTTCTTAAGAAACATTTTGCTAGTATTTGTTTGTGAACATTCATGAATGTGGCACTAGGGAGATAGTACTACTACTTTCATAATTTTTCTAACGATGCACTTTTTCTAGTTACAGTGGATTTAATGAGGTTGAAGTATCTACTTCGTTTCAATTTAAATTAACAAGGGTTCAATTTCGGTGATGAAACGGAGAATCACGTTCCTTGGCCAGTCGCCCCCTTAATATTTTGTTTAATATTTTTATTCATGATAAGTGCATTCTCTCAAATCAGTTGTTACGCCGGGAGATTGTTTGCAAAATGTATAAATGCCCGTTTAATGTTTGATATTTATAGAGCGTTTTTAAGGCTCGCTTCATGATTCCACACAAAGTTTTATTC